AGGACCGGGGCGCTGGATACAAAGGCTGATTTGGCCACCTCGCTCACACTTGTTGCTCCTTATCATTGCTTTTCCTTGACAATTCCATCAAGGATCAAAGGATTCAGCTCCGTAACTCCCAACCTGCAGCACTGACCTTTGGGAGGAGAAAACTATCAGAGAGATGGTGTGATGGAGCGACAGCGGCTCCGAGCAGGCCGGGGTGCTCCAAGCAGAGCAGCCCCTGCTCCCCGTGGCCTTGCGGGTGCCTTTCCTGCTGCAGCATCTCAGTGCTGCAACGCGGCCGGAGCGCCGTGGGGAGGCCCCTGGAGCAGCTCCCGGACACGGCGCGCGGAGCCGGGCCGCAAACCCGCGGGACGAGGGCACCCGCGGATAACGGCTCCCAGCGGGAGCTGGGATGTGTGCAGACACCAGCCCGTCCCACCCGGCCTTCCCAAGGCGGAACCCAAACCCCGCTCCGGGATTTGATGCGGATTTAGGTACATCTGCAATCTGAATATGCTAAAGCCACATTGCATGAGCGAGCTAACCACCTGCACACACAAACCTAGCGGAGCTCAGCGCTGAGATGGTGACAGGGAGAGCAGAACACCGGGATCAGGAAGGACGAAGACCAGGGTGGCAGAGCCCGAGCACTCTGCACACACTGCAAGAATGTAAAACAGCCTTTACTGGCTGTAATTAAATACCCTGGTAAGACCGTAAAGTAAGAAAAACCTCACTATAAGAGTCTCATCTCTAAAAAAGGATGCAACACAGAAAAACAAAAGGATTTGCCAAACAAATTAAAAGGAGCAGTTAGAAATGTAACACGCGTGTATGCAGCAGCTGATGGGAAGCTCGTGCGGGAGGTGCAGGGCTGCAGCGTGCAGGACCGTGGGTGTCTGTGCGCGAGCGGCCGCACGGGGAAAACGAGCGCAAAGCGGGTGGGAAACGCCGACGCGCAGCCCTGCGGGACGTGGGGAAGCGCAGGACGGGGAAAGGCAAGGAAAGAAAGTTGGGAAAGAAAAGAGAGCAGAAAGGTGAAGAAAATCTAATGACTTAAATGGAAAACTAAGTAGGGAAAAAAAATCAAAGATCAACTTGCAAATTACAGAATAAAGTGTTTTCCAAAGACACCTGGAAGCTTCCTAGATGCCAAAAAGCTATAAAAATACAGCTGAAAAAGAAAAGCTGAACTCGCTCTTTGAGCTGGTAGCTACCCTAACAAAGCTTAAGAGGGCATACACCTTGAAACCTTCCTTCCCGTGGAACAAACCTGAAGACTCACATCATTCTAAAGCACTAACAACTCAGTAAACAGCATTCACAAGCAGGGATGGACTGAACAGTTCTGAGGTCTCTTCCTATCCCATCCTTGCAGGCAGAGCAGCCATACCTGTGTGCTTTGCCTCCTGGCGGGGTTTGTTTAGGAGCAGCTCCTGGGTCCCAACCACTGAAAACCTAAAACCAGGTTTGAAATCTGCCACAGAGTTTTGCCATCACGATAACCCCTTTCCCTAATGCCAACCTTCAACCTTTCCTATTGCAACTAAAGCAAACAAACCTCCTATTACTCCATGCACTACACCAAGCAGAATGTCACAAGGGTGTCGAAAGCCTTTCTGAAGAGCTCGTGAAATAAATCACTTCCCAGTCATCAGAAAGATCTGCCTAAAGGAAAAACAGCCTGGCGTGGAATGATTTATTATTCACCAGTTTTTACTAGTTGTTGCTTATCTTCATACCTGCTAGAGGCTTACACCTATTCCTGAAATTCCGCAGGAACGATGCTGCGTGGCTGCTAAATCCCAATGTTCTTCCTGCTCTGCCCTTCTCTGCCTTTCAGGACAAACCCAACAGTTCTCGAAGATAATCTTGGAGATTTCAGCACTTATTACACTTCCCAAATACGCTAGAATGAAGTTCCAGCTGAAAATTAATTTGAAAACATTTCATCTACTTAAACGCTTCAGACTGATAGTGTATCTTCTGAACAGCTACTAGCTTGCCAGTTACCTACTCGCACTGACCTTTTCATTAAATACCACTGCAAAAAGGCCGAAGCTCCTCTTTGCAAACGAGCAGAACCAGGTGATGCACATTTCTAAGAACTCGCTCATGGAACTGCCAAGCCGAGGACGGCGGGAGGGATCAGCTCCAGGCCAGGATAAACGGAGGGGGAACAGATGATACCAAAAATAAATGAAAAAGGTCTCGGTGTGGTGGAAGGTTGGTTCACAGTAGTGTGGACCAGCACATCTGGTTTCTGTACTCAGGAAACGGCAGAAATTAGCAGATTCCTGAATACATATGCTAGAACAGGGAAGAATAAATATATACCCAAGAATCTCACAAAGCGATGAGAACTTTTTCAGAGTCAACAAGTGGGTGAAAATAAGTGGTCTAGTTGATATATATGTATATATAAAATACAGATTTTCATAAAAACTTTCAAATAAGTCACCAAATGCTGACATATTAAGTTGCTATAGGAAAGAGGTAAGATTTGATAAGAACAGTTTGCCAAATGGACAATGACTACTGTTAAGAATCCCTTGAAATTTTGCATTTTCAACACCTACATAGATAACCTGGAAAAGAGGGGCAGGAAAAATTGAAGGATCATTCAGGATAGTCACAACTAAAATAAAACTATAACAAACATGGATAGAACGATACAATGCCAGGAATCCATGGCTGCGTCCAGCTTCACGGCCTAACAAGTGCCAGGGCGCAGGCATTTCGTCACCTGTGCTAAGAATTCCCGGGATGGTCCCGGCACCCTTCTGCACCAGACGGTGCCGGGGAGCGCGGCTGCCTCTGCAGTTTGTGGTTTGTTTGGAACACGTCCCCGAGGAAGCAGCACTGCAATGCTCAGCACATGGCTACAGAGGGACCTTCGCTCTGATCTCGTGGGGTCTTTTCCACGGCCACTCTTTGGTGGCTATCCCGCCTGACCAACCTACCGAGATAAAGAAGGGGCTTTCAGACTGTAACACCTGAAGATTCAAAGGGGCTTTTGGAAGGCGAAACGCAGGTCTCAAAGCACGATGCTGCTCCTCGGGGCGCGGGGAGGCTCGGGGCGCTCGGGGACACTTTGAAGGCAGTCGCTCCCGCAGAGGCCGCGTCCCCGGCACGGCTGGGCGCGCGCTGCAGG